CCAAAAAAAAAAAAAAAAAATACAACAGTAAACTTTAAAATCAACAGTCCAATAATTTTCAGCATATTGGAAGAGGCTCTCCATTCCAACCCTCAACACACTCCAGCAATGGATCCACAATAAGCCCTTCACTCAAAGCCCCGAACACCTTTTCGCACTCCTCGCCAGGCGAAACGACTCGTTCGCCCGTCAAAAATTCTGCCCCCAATTCCTCCCTCACGAACCTATACAATGGGTATGACCTGCACTCCTTAACCCGGTTCGCCACAATCGGGCTTCCCTTCTCGACCGAGGCCCGCGTCCCTTCAACCTCCTTAGGCAGAACAACCCGAAGCTCATCCTCAAAAGCCTGAATCTTTTGGAAAATGGAGGTCCCCTCGTTTTTCTCCATCTCCCCGTTTTTCAGCGCGTGGTCCACCAGCACCTGCCTCAGCTTCTGCATCAACGGGTAGTTCCCGCTACACGGGTCATCTGCGTAAGCAAATACGTACTCACGGTCAACCACTCGGAGCAAATCCTTCTCGCAAAACCTCGACGGGTGAAGCTCGCCGTTGACTCCCATGGTCAATGTCTTCTTGCAGACCTGACTCACCGCGTTCTTCACCGCTAGCCGTAGATTCTCCTCCAGGTGGCGAAGATCGATTGCCTGGCATAATGCAATCAGATAAGTCGAAAACATTAGCTTCAGTATATCCAGAGCCTCGACTGTTTTTCTCGACGAGATAAGCCCGAGCGAGTTCACGTCTTGGTTATGCTGCTCGGCACTTTGCACGTGGTTTGTTACAGGGTTTGCTAAAAACTGAAGCTCCGAGCAGTAGGCGGCCATGGCGATTTCCGAGCCCTTGAATCCATAGTCCAAACTCGGGTCCCGACCGCCCGAGAGGTTCGACGGGAGTCCGTTGTTGTAGAAATCGTTGACGAGCTCGGAAAATTGGGCGAACATGAGTTTTCCGATTGCTGCGATTGCGAGCCGGGTGTTGTCCATGGAGACGCCTATCGGAGTGCCCTGAAAGTTCCCCCCGTGGAGGGCTTTGTTACGGGAGACGTCAATTAACGGGTTGTCGTTGACCGAGTTGATTTCGCGCTCAATCATTTTTGTGGCGGTTCGGATGGTTTCGATTTGGGGGCCGAGCCATTGGGGGGAGGTTCGGAGGGCGTATCGGTCCTGTTTGGGTTTTTGGAGGGGATCGGTTTCGTGGAGTTTTTGGGCGGATTTGACGTAGGAGCTGCCGTCGAGGATGTGTTCCATGATGGCGGCGGCTTCGATTTGGCCAGGGTGGTGTTTGAGTTTGTGGGTGAGGTGGTCGGTGAACTCTGGTTTTCCGTTCATGACCTCGGCGAAGATGGCGGAGGTGACGACGGAGAGGAGGGAGAGGATGTTGGCTTCGTAGAGGGCGGTGGAGGCGAGGCCGGAGCCGACGGCGGTTCCGTTGACGAGGGCGAGGCCTTCCTTGGGTTGGAGGGTGAAGAAGGTGACGGCATCGCCGCCGGTGGTGGTGATGCCAGCAAGGGAGAAGGCCTGGGAAGGGGTGAGGGGGGAGCCGTCGGGGCCGACGGCGCGGGAGTTGGGGCGGCCGGTGAGGAGGCCGGCGATGTAGGATAAGGGGACGAGGTCGCCGGAGGCGGTGATGGTGCCGCGGAGGGGGAGGCAGGGGGTGACGTCGGAATTGAGGAGTTTGGTGAGGGCCTCGAGAATCTCGAAGCGGATGCCGGAGTAGCCCTGGAGGAGGGTGTTGATGCGGACGAGCATGGCAGCGCGGGTGGCGGCGCGTGGGAGGGTGTGGGTGGAGGAGTCCGGGCCGTGGCCGAATATTCCGGCGTTCAGAAATCTGATCGGGAAAAAAAACAAAAAGAACATCAGGGTTTATGACCGGGAAAAGGAAGTTTCATTAATTAAATTAACTTTTAATTTTTAAGCCAAATTTGGATGCTACATTGTTAGGAAAAAAAAAAATCAATGCAGTTTTTTGAAACACAATTAATCTATTAATTTGGTAAAAAGGAAGCAACATAAATAGAATTAATCACAATCCCAAATAAAATCAACTCACCTAATAAGCTCCTTCTGCAGAGCGCCGCCCTGCTTGGTCCTCCGGTGAGACGTCGCCCCAAACCCCGTCGTCACCCCGTAGCTGTCCGTCCCCTTATTCATGCTCTCCATAACCCAGTCGCTGCTCGCCTTCACCCCAGCCCTCGCCGCCTCCGCCAGCTCCACCCCGATCCCTCCTCCCCTGGCGGCCACCGCCGCCACCTGCCCTATCGTCAGGCTCTCCCCGCCCAGCCTCACCGTCTCCCTCCTAAAATCCGCCACCATCCGCCGCACCTCCTCCAGGTGGCTCCCCTTCATCCCCGCCGCCGCCGCAGCCCAGTTCAACGGGTCCGCCCCGACGGCCCTGTCCTTCGCGCACAGCCCGTCGTTCGACCGGTGAGCGCTGTACTCCGTCGCTGGTGCCATCTGATCCACACAAAAAAAAAAAGTAAAAACTCCGGCCGGCGGTGGAATTGAACCTATTTCTTTACTCAAATGTGTTGTATTGTACTAATTTTTAAAATGTGGTTAGATATGGGGCAGCTTTAAATAGACGGTGGAGTAGGGATATAGATACAGATGTGTGTGTATGTATATATTTTGGTAGGTGGTTTAAAGAGCACTTGGGATGGAGGCAAAAGAGAGACTTAAAAAAAAAATTAAAAAAGAAAACCAACCTTATGGGTTGGTTGAGCATCGATCTGGACCGTTGGTGGGCTGGGATAGACGGTCGATATCGATTAGCGTAGGTATGGATTTATTTTAATAATTCAGCTGCTTCGCGTGGGGGTTGGTGGCAACGTTTTGAATATTTTTGTGGAAAACTATTTTAATTTTTTTAATTTTACCTTTCTTACCTTTTTAGGTGGATAATTCAAGGGAGACTTACCAAATAGAAATGTTATACTCCCGTTGTGAAATTATTCTGTCGGGATTTGTAATTATTAGATCATTATGTGTTCGTCGTGGATAGTTGATCTAACCTTTACGATCTCCGACATAATATTTTCGTAACGGGACCGTAGAATTTCCCATTACTAAAATTGGAAGTTGATTGTGTATGAGGTCTTTTTAAGAGAGATTTTATTCGAGTAATTGTGGTGTATATTACATGGATTGTAAAAAATTATTTTCTTAATTATTGTTTTATTAATTAAATATCCATAGGAAAAACTAAGGGCTTGATTGTTTATGGATTAATTTACTCACTTTGATTTCAACTCAAAATTTAACTCAACTTTAACTCAACCTCACTATCTTTAATATTATTCATATAATTAAATAATACAAACCAATCATTCTTACACATCACATCAATTTTAATTCATTATTCATCCACTCACATATTTTTAACTACATGTCATTTCCAATCATTTATCTCTTACTTTTACATCAAATCAATTTTAAACATTTTATTCTAAATATTATTTTAATATATTCTTAAAATTCCACTAACACCTAACTATACTACTTTTTCAAATTTAGCTATGGTTAATTAAAATAACTCATTTTGAACAAATTATTTCACAAACAATCAAGCCCTAAATGCTTTCAAAATCGGTTCATTAACTTCTCATATAATTTAATCTTAATTCATCAAGTTATTACTTTCATCAACTGGTTCAAAATTTTAATTTCGATCATCAAATTTCGATCAAAAAATTTCTCACATTTTAACTCAACCACTTTGTTTAACTCAACTTAAACTCAACCTCACTATCATCAATTATTATTAATATAATTAAATAATATCAATCAATCATTCATACACACCACATCAACCTTAATTCACTATTTATCCACTCACATTATTTTAACTAACCATCACATCAAACCATCTCTCTCCTACTTTTATATCAAATCATTTTAATTATTTATTTTAAATATTATTTTAATATATCCACTAACAACTAACTATACTACATTTTTCAAAATTAACCAAACCAAACCAAAAAATCCAAACAAAATCAAAAATTTCTATAAACAAACATGCTTTAAATAATTCTATTATTTAGTTTATTTTGACTAGCTAGTGCATATCCCGTGCGATGCACGGGTAAACAATAACTTTTATAGCATGTAAAATTGTATTATCACACGTGCATGACAAATCTACATCTTAAGTTCATACTTTGTGTTTTCTAATGGAATAACATCCTTCATTTTAGGGATCATATGTATTTAATATGTCCATATCTACATATCAGCAATTTAAATTTTGAGTTTGAAGATAACCCGAATCTATGATTGCAAAATTACGTTTAATAATAAAATTAACCGCAACTTTAAGATGTGGTATTTTAAAATTTAGAAAAAAAATTTTAAAACCATTAATTTATGGGAGATATGTGATAAATCTATCTAAATCTTGTATACATCACGTCTTACAATTAAAGCAATGTAAACATGGAAATTAAGATATTTTGAATCTCTAATTTAAACAAAGACCGTCAAAATTTGATTTGGTATTTTGATATAAAAAAAATAAATCATTAATGTAGGGGATAATATGTGTTAAATCTATCTAAATATTGGATATATCACGTTTTTACAATTAAAGCAATTTAAATATGGAGACTATTATTATTTTGAATCTCTGATTTAAACAATGACCATAAAATTTTTGATTGTTTTAAAATTAGTGTCGTGTATTATTTTTCATTATAAATAATTATCAAACAAAATAATTTCGAGTCAAGAGATAGATAAATAGACACATCCCATTGCACTGATCGGGGGCGTTCGTAGTGACTGAGGGTGTTCATGTGTGATTTTACACCATATTCATATAGTATCTAGAGCTTAATTGTTGCATTTGTGGTGTATAAATTGCATATTTGTGCTTTAATTCTATGTTTGTTGGAAAGGTATTACACGTGCTCGTTTTGTAGATATTTCCACATATTTGTAGAGTTTTGGCTATTGGAGGAGCGTGGTGAGTGCCTAAGACTCCCGTGATGATGATAGATAGATGCACGGGTGTGAAAAATGGAACAAACGAGCAAAACAGACAAAAACGTGCATGCTGGGATGTGACACAGGCTGTGACACGACCAACCAGCCCGTGTCAGAGGCCATGTCACCTCGCCAGGTACCTGACACGACATGTGACACGACCTGTGACACGGGCGTGTCAGGTCGTGTCGCGACGCGGACAGTTTTTAATCGCTTACCTTTTTCGCTTAGGAGAGGACTTTTGGACATATAAAAAGACCTATTTACCTGATCTTGAGCCCTAGAACGTGATTACGCAAGGAAGGGAGCTAGAGAACACACAAGAGAAGCAATTGGGAAGAAGAGAAGATCAACCACAAGATTTCTAGTTTTTCTTTCTCTCTTTTGAACTTATTTTCTCATGTTGATTTTGAATATGTCTATGTGTTTGAATTCGAACATGAGTAGCTAGATTTCTTTGATTCTAAGACATGGTAGTAGATTAATATGTTGGGATTTTGGATGATTTATTTATAATTGATTGTTTTTCTTTTGAACCCTATTCAAGTATTTTGTTCTTATTCCATGTTTAGAACTTGATCAATTCTTTTACATGTTTGACAATATTGTTCATAATTTGAGAGATGAGTTCAATATTAGGTCTTTAATACTTGACATAATTTACTTGCTTGAATCGAGAGATTAGTAGGTAATTGTGAGGATTTTGGGTCTTTTAATCTTTTTGGAGTTGAATTGCATGTGTTGAGTGGAGACGCTAATATATGTAATTTAATCTACGGTTTTATCGATCTCGAGAGGGACGATAGGCTAATTTTGTGATCATCTTATAGGGTAGATAAAGAAAATAGTTAATTGTGATATATTTGAAGGAACCCAACTGTTAATTGAACCCATAGTCTTAGAATCTACCATTCCTTTTTATTCTTCCTAAGTGTTTTTCTAGTTGTTTTCTTGTTATCAATTTCTTATCTTTTGGATTATTTTCTTAGTTAGTTAACCAATCTTATATTCGGTCGTCTAAATAAAATTGACACTATCATAATCTAGTACTTGATTAATTGGTTGTTTGGTCTCTTGGGATACGACCTTGCTTGCCACATACTACGAGCGAAGCCGTACACTTGCGGTCGAGCTTTAAAAATATAGGCGAACAAGTTTTTGGCGCCGTTGCCGGGGACCAATATAATTATTTATATCAATATTATGATAGATAGTGTTGGTTTTAATTTAGACATTTTTTGTATATCTTGCTAACATTATTTTTTCTTTTTATTTATTTTTTGATGGACGAGGATGCGGTAGACTATGACTGGCGCAATGATCCCAAATACTCGGAAGAAGATAAAAAGTGGTATGAGAAGTGTTTGTTCTATCAGTTGGAAGAACTTAAAAAGGTTGAGTTGGAGTCGAAGCGTCGTAGGAGAGAACTCGAGGAAAGTGGCATTGGGTGTGATGAATGTGATTTGATGTTGTCACACATACCGGGGAATTGTCCCTTTTCAAGTTTACCTCCTATATCGCAAGAAGAGATCGATTACATTCCTCCATGCCTTTTGCCATTAGACAGTGCGCCAGAAATTTCTATCGTTGCCGATGAACATGAAGAAGAGAAGGATGTCATCTTTGAAATATCCCCAAAAGTTATTCTCACTGAAGGGGTGGTTCAAGAAGAATTCTTTAATTCTGAATGTTTAAAAATTGAATTTGTCATTCCATACGATGAAGAGGTTGAAATCTTCATCCTGAAATTTGAGAGATATTGTGATGGTAAACTTGGTGATTATGACGGGACCATGCTGCTCTCTTATGTATTGAGTCCTTACTGGGAGAAAGTCAAACTTAAAAGGATGAGAAGATCATCAAAGTCCTTATTTAGAGTTCCCTAATAGACATTCTCGTCTGGCTGAAGACGTTAAACTTAGCGCTTGTTGGGAGGCAACCCAATGTTTACTGCTTTATTTTTTTTTATGTTTTTAGTTAGTTTTATTTTTTGTTTGTTTGATATTTTGTTTTTTCTTCCTTGCAGAACATTACTTGAAGAGATTTACATGACGAATAATATGCTTTGAGATCTATACCAAGAATTGTCATCTTTCCAATGATGTTTTGTGAGTCTTCTCTATTTTATTTTTTTTGAAATTCTATTCTTCCCTTATGTGCTTCATATAGTTTCATTCAAGTTTGGGGGGAGATGTGATATTTTGATTTGAGTAGTTTAGAGAGAAGATAACAAGATATCTCACATTATCTTGCATATCATATAGTTGCATGTTAGGTTTATTGCTTTAGCACGTTTATTGCTTTCGTAGGATTTGTGTAGTTGTAGTTGGTCAACTTGGATCCACCTTGATAAGTTTCTTGTGCATATTTGATATGGAATTCGGGCATAATGTGCTAGGTGATGGAATTTGATGATGAATTGAGTTGTGAATTTGAACGATTGGTTGATTTTTTTGATCCATGAATATATG